GCTCCTTTTCTCCATCCACCAGTACCACGTACTCATAATACATATAATATTACCTACCAGTATACATAAAATCATCATCATTGATGTGGCTTTCATATCATTTATGCTTTCGTTTCCTTCCGCAATTCATCTTCAACTGGCGTCATCTTTTTCCTTTGGTTGTTTGAGTAAAGAGAAGCACATTGTATAATAATGGTCTTTACTGCTGGAGAAAGTTAGGACAGATAGACAGACAAAAACAACAGGGGGAAAGTTTAGTTTTAGTAAGAGTTTTACGGCACTTGCAACACAATAAGGTCATACATTATGTGCCGGAGAATAGATTATGTGTCACAAGAGAGTAACATAACATACTCAAAAAAGGAGGAGAGATAAGGACGATAGATGTTTGACAGGATAGAAGGAGCAAACCACAACAGAGGGAAAGTAAAGAAGTAGGACCTATCAGTGGCGCCCTCCAACCACCCACACACAGACAGAAACAACAGAGGGAAAGTAAAGAAGTAGGACCTATCAGTGGCGCCCTCCAACCACCCACACAGACAGAAACAACAGAGGGAAAGTAAAGAAGTAGGGCTTACCAGTAGCACCCTCCAACCACACACACAGACAGAAACAACATAGGGAAAGTAAAGAAGTAGGGCTTACCAGTGGCGCCCTCCAACCACACACACAGACAGAAACTTCAGAAACAACATAGGGAAAGTAAAGAAGTAGGACCTATCAGTGGCGCCCTCCAACCACCCACACAGACAGAAACAACAGAGGGAAAGTAAAGAAGTAGGGCTTACCAGTAGCACCCTCCAACCACACACACAGACAGAAACAACATAGGGAAAGTAAAGAAGTAGGGCTTACCAGTGGCGCCCTCCAACCACACACACAGACAGAAACTTCAGAAACAACATAGGGAAAGTAAAGAAGTAGGACCTATCAGTGGCGCCCTCCAACCACCCGCCTTTCCTATGATGCAGCGTGGTTGAATCAGGCTCTCGTCAATTTTTGGGCATGTAGAGTTATTGGTATCATCTTAAAGCTTGTTCACTTGTCTTTATTTGGATGAAAAAAATGTCCATTTATCTTGAATACAAGTCGACTGGTTATTTTCTTATACTTAAGAGTCCGTGGTAACTGAAAATTTCCATTTTGTGTGCCTTTAATCAACGTTTTTCAGAAAAATCCACAC